AAGATGGTTACTGGGAGACGCAATTCTATCACTCATAGAAAATTTAAATCAGTTCACTTTATGCTAAAATTCGTGCTGTAGATGTTGTCCAGAAGGACGATGAAAGTTCCGCAACTGAACCAACCAGCTCAGAGAACACTACTAATTGCAAGAAGTAGTATACCGTACACGTCAATAAAACGAACGGCAGCGACACAAATTATCCCTAAGATAAAACCTCTAAAGATAACCAATCTCAGCCAACTTCATCAGGAGATTTAGATATATAACTTACGGAGAATTCGAAAAACTTCAGTTTCCATCGATGTAAGAGTTGAAGACGTTGCCTAAAAGGATATTTAAATCACTTAGATCATGGAACACAACCAAGCCGAAAACGCTTCTGTGAGTGAGATGTAAAATTATCTCTTCTTCTTAAACTCCATCTCACATCTTGTCAGATGCTTTTATTCGTTACAGTTATGGCTATCTTTCAATGGTGATGATCACTAATAAGTACCAATGTATCAGTTGCTTCCAAGAGTAATTAAGGTTTAGCAATGAACAAAGATAAATGGCAATAAAGCAAAGATTCAAGCTGCTTATACCTCAAGTAATATGAAGATCAAAATATAATGAAGCGGCTAAAATAACTTAAGCAACTGATAAGTATTAATATAGTCGAGAGTTATAAAATAATTAAATAGCGAAAACACGGTATACAATTATAAAATAAAAGTGGCGGCAATAACAACGAATAAAGTGTAGTATTGAGCATCTGGTGGTTAACATCAGAGTATTCATGCAATAAGTTTACGCTATAATCATTTGTATATTTGATAAATAATCGAAAAGAATTTTAATATTTGAAGATAATTGATTCAACTAACTAAATAACGATTTTGAATTAACCATTATGCGTGCATTGTGTATAAATATAGAATTTACACAAAATAAAAACATGTACGCGCAACATAAATACACACGAGCATCATGAGGTTAATGATGCACAGTGTCATATATATATATATATATATATATATATATATATATATATATATATATAGGTGTTCTAGTAATCACAGACACAACACATGACAACATAATACTAATGCGCAGTCAGCGTATGTTGTACAAAATATCATGGGGGCAGAGATAAACAGACTGCGCACCCTAATAGTAGTGTCAAGATGAAATAAACGTCGATTTCCGTAAAATGGGTCATCCACCATATATATATATATATATATGCATGATGAAATTTCAGTGTCGCATAATGCGCTGAGCATAAATCATTAAAAAACAATAATAAATAAACCAGCTTGAAATGGGAAGAAGTTTCTGTTAAACGTTACTATCGAAAATATCTTCACTAAACGGATAGCGAGTACAGCAAGAAGACAAACGTACTAGAGTGATATCAGATCTATTAAAACTTGCACACTGTGATGGTGTGTAATTCCATATTAATTTGTTTATTGGATGAACCACACAGTGAAACAGTATTACTAACTGAATAATAAATAATGCCATTCTACAGTGTTAAATATCCAGTAAACGAATAAATAAAGAATTGAAAATCTATTAGGTTCATCTGACTTCCGCTGATCAACCAACCTCAAAATGAATAAATGATGCCACTAACGTCTTTCTCACATATCAGATTTTTCTGACTTATCATGTTCACTATAAAAATAGTTTATAAGTGACACCACAAATTTAAGGGGGTATACAGTTTACAAAATGATATCTATTTGCAAAACTTGAATCGTAATAATAAAATATAATCCACACATTTTATAGAACAAGGGAATATGAATACGATAACCTTAATATCATAATTGTAACAAGGGGAAAAATAGGAAAGCAATTACTGAAAATACTAGACACTCTCTAGGACTAATTTAGAATTAACTATGCAATGTCTTAATCCGTTTAATATTCCAATTGAGTGTATTTGGGTTAGCTACTAATTTTATATTAGCGAACCACGTTTTCAAGTATCGGACAATGGATAGTAGGCAATTGACTTTGCAGACCCTAACTTATGATATTTGTGAGTAATTACTACACTCAGTAAGTGATATAATGCCACTATGCACTGTAACTCAATTTCAGTTATTGTGAGTAAATCAAATGGTTTTCTGTTTATTGGCAGACAGTGTACCTGGCATTTTGAGGTGACTCAGTTCTGTTGGACATTCACACCTTTTTTTACTCCTTGCTAAAGTCAAAAAAGTCATCAACAGACTTTTGAAGCTATTAAACCTAGATAGGAGCTAACTACGAATTAAGTCATCACGGCTAACATCAAAATAACTCTTCCCAATAAATGCATAAGCAAATCAGAATATCTATCAAAGCACTGCTACGAAAAGCATAAAACGGAAAGCATTAAAGGTAAACCTGAAATTAGACACGTAAAAGCACAAGGTGATAATCACAAGAAAACGAATAGATTCACAAATCTCAACAATGTAAACGCCAATTTATCGAAGAAAATTTTCACTGCGGACGAAGTCATCCTCAAAGGCTGTACAATACTATTTATATTTACTAAAATGTTTAGTAGTCATTTATTGAACAATAGGATGTTTGATACAATTCATACAGATACTCAAAAGTGGTTTCTAAGGTTAGCAAGAAATTATGGAATAATCAGCGAGATAACAGATTTTAAGGGCCTAGAGTGAATGTGGTGATTGACAATTTCTATCTCTGTATTGTTTAAATACTTACTGTTGATTGTTAATATATTTCTTATATGAATTGCATTATAATTCCGCTAAATACAAATTCCTGAATTCCGCCCTCTGTGTATTTCGGTGGAATTCTTGTAATTCGGTCATCTCGAAATGCTAATACTACGATTACAAATAATTACAACAAATTGGTGTCGCGATAGAACTAAATAACCTTGGAAAATTTCCTATAAATGGTTCACCGCGGGAGATTGCTGATTACCTTGAATGCTTCGATGTATGGTGCATTTCAAAGAATGTTCGGAATGACAAAATTCCAGCACATTTCATCACTGCTATTGGGCTAGATGCATATAGCCTAGTAAAGACTCTGACATTTCCAGATAAATTTTCAAGTATTGGTTTTGTAGGGATTTTGTTTGATTGCATGGAGGATTTAATCATGAGCTGACATCAGTTAGAGAACCACTGGAAAACCTGGGAGTACTGGACAGCCGTTTCGTCCTAGTTTGGGACTCCTCAACAGTACGCACCCACCGGGATTCGAACCCAGGACCTTCTGGTTACAAGGCGAGCTCGTAGACCATTGAGCCACTGGGACCCGATCCAATGGTCCTTGAATTCTAACATCTGCCAGTTCACGACATAGCGCGACCACTTCGCAATGTCTTCTTCGATGAGTTACTGCCTCATCTTCGACCTGCTGTACCCTACTGGTCACGGCTTCCTACTAGAACCCCAGGTTAACTGCCTGAATAGGGCCAGTCACTAGTGAGCATCAGATGAATTTTCAAGTATTGGTTTTTGTAGGGATTTTGTTTGATTGCATGCATTTGATGCATGAACTTCTTATAAGTCACTTTCATGTAACTTCTTTTGAGACCAGAGAGAGGGCTCACTTCAACAAACTGGTTCGTGCTCCCAACCAGAAGATTAGAGACTTTATTCTTCAACTTCAAATTCAAGCTTCAAAGTGTAACTTTGGAGATCAGCTGCATACACAACTACGTGATCGTCTAATTGCTGGAATCAATATTCCTAAGTTAGAGAAAGAGTTAATTCAGATTCCCTCTTGTACCTTTCAAACTGCTAAAGATTTATGTATTACATATGAAGACGTCAACAGTGAATACTCTGCTCCCACTACGTCAGTATCTGATGTCATGTTGTCCAAAGTCGAAAATACAAGTGGTAATGGAAAGCAATCCAAACTGTCGTCCACAGGTAACAGAATGCAGCGAGAGATCAAAAACATTAAACCGTGTTTATCCTGTGGAAAGTTACATCTACGAAGCACTTGCCGTTTTCGGGGTGCTAAGTGTCACAAATGTGGTAAAGTTGGACACATCAAGACGGTTTGCAGAAGTTCGAATACTTATAATTCTCCCAAGCTGTCTCGTAAAATGGAGTCTATGTGTCTTTCAACTTTTCAAAATACTCAATCTCATCCAATGAAAACCTCCACTACAAGTTCAGCAACTCAGGCGTCAACTGTTTTCAAAAATGCGAACTATCGAAAACACGAAGAAAACTGAATGAGATGAGAGAGCAACTGATTAAAATGGAGGAATTACTGCATATGCATAGACTGCGTCTGTTGAATGCAGAACATACAAGTACCCATGAAAGTCCTGCAAAACTATTCAAATCTCGAATTCTCAAAAAGCATCTGATGTCCACTACTTCTAATGTACATTATTACAAAGGGAATGACTAAAGACCTTCTGCTGGAATCATACTACAAAAAATGGGAAATCGAGTGGTGAAGATATTAGACATCAAAGATCACTCAGTTCATAACGGACACCTGGACAAAATGACAATAAATGAAGTAGGTCGTTCCAATTATAATATTAATAATTCCGCTACTAATCCTGATTTTGTAGATAATTCAGAAATAAGTCCAGATAATACTGATGAAAATGATATCACAGAATCAGTTAGAAGGTCGCAGCTACTTGCAAGTAAACCGAGACATCGTTATCAATACGCAAGGAGATATTCGACGTGTGTCGGATGTGGTGATTGACAATTTCTATCTCTGTATTGTTTAAATACTTACTGTTGATTGTTAATATATTTCTTATATGAATTGCATTATAATTCCGCTAAATACAAATTCCTGAATTCCGCCCTCTGTGTGTTTCGGTTGAATTCTTGTAATTCGGTCATCTCGAAATGCTAATACTACGATTACAAATAATTACAGTGAAAATTTGTAAAATGTAAAATATTCTACTTCCTACCTTAATACAGTAATTTAGTGAAGGATAAAAGTGTTTGTAGGCAATTTATATTACATAGGCTATTATTAATTACCTGAAACGGCCAATACGTCGCAAATGCGAGAACATTTCCCCACCATTGACAAATTCTAACACCATATACAAATTGCTGTTATCCTATAATTATGAGTAAAATGGAAAAAAGACGTAAACTGCCTTCAGATGGAAATCATTTTGAAATGAAACATGACTTAATAATTACAAAATAAAATAACTGCAGATAAATGACGATAATAATAATGCTACTGGATAACTTTACACAAGTTTATGCATCAGAACAAAAACACGCCAACACGGAGGAAACAAATTATTTCATTCACTATAGAGATTGGGATGAATAAAGAAAGCCACGTTTACACAGATGATGACACGACGGCTGGTGATCCAAAGTGAGTATCAACGAACCATTATTTGACTGCAGATTTACTGTTTCCACAACAAACCTAGCGTTTAAACTAGTGAACTAATTCTATAAAATGTATTGCAATTTATTACTACTAAAATTGCTCAGAAAGTCACCACAATGATAAGCTTTTTAAATGTTAACTAAATGTATCCAGTCTTCAATAAAAAGTTCACATTCTTGGCAAAATGAACTAAAATTAATAATCTTAAGTCTAGTCTACGAATAAAAAAGTTGAAAACAAATAAATAATTGAATTTCTTGTCAAGTAAGTTAGCATATCAAACTTTTCATTTTATATATTAGCTAGTTTGCATGTACAGTACTGGGGTTTCTTATCTACAGCTAACCTGAGCAATGGAACAAACACTAAAGTTATTCACAAGTCTGATTCTGAAGAAAACCTCTCTTTGTCATAAAAGTGCTCCACTTGAATTATGATTTAAGCAATTAAAAATGCAAAATAAAATAAAAACACGCATGGCGATCAAGGGATTCAATTTGCTATTTCACTTACAAGTGAAATGAATGTTTTAGTTGCTTATCATTGGTAAGTCCACTTAATACCATCACTTATAATGTAACACTAACCAGTTATTAATTCTATAGCTTATATTAAGTAAGCAACTACTATCATTACATTGTCTCACTATATTTTCTGCATGAAAAATCACTTTACCTCCTAAAACAAAGAAAATATTTGTAAACGTTGAGGATGAGTGCCATGCATTTTTGAGGTATATTCAACTCTTAGATCTATCAAAATCAGGATAACAATAACTAGATCTTTTTAGTCATTTTCGGTCTAAGAATAAGTGGAAGAAAGTAACAAAAAGTATTCTTAAAATGGGATTATTTGTGGCTCCCTAATGGAAAAAGACACGCATTGCGTTGATATTTGTGGAAGAAATCTGGACATGTTGAAACCAACTAATTACTTTTAACAAACATATCGCCACTTGATTCTTAAAATGCCGTGTATTTTATTATAAATATATATATATATATATATATATATATTAAAGCAGAGCCAGGGATGTCTGTCTGTTTTCGACATAGAACTTTGCACAAATGTGCGGAAGTTCAAGTCGCCACATTCCGTGTAGCACGCGAAGCAAGAGAAGAAAGTACAAGAAAAGCATAATAGAAACAGTGAGCAGAGGTGTGAGACAAAGGAGTAATAAAGAAATACAAAACAGTTTCATTGAAGATCATAAGTCACAGGGAGTGGATGCATCTGCGCCACTGAGAACGATTTTGAGCCATGTCACCAATTGTTTCCAACCATAGATTTTTACCGTCCCGAGGACCCCAGCCTGGAAGTCTACACCTTCCTACGTGGCTAAGACCAACTGTTGTGGATTTCATTGACTGATGCCAAGTTTTTGTTTGACCGCCGCTAGCTTTTTTCCAGCCTGACCCTATATCCGCTAACATAGCTCGTCGAGGGAGGCGATGGCTTGGCATACGTAACACATGTCCTAACCATCTCAGTCTTTGTAGCTTCACGACTTCGTCGATTGATTTCCCCTGTTTACCTAGAACTCTACGCCTAACCTCCATGTTGCTCACCTTATTATGCCACTTTACACGGGAAATAGAACGCAGGCACCTATGATCAAAGGCAGCTAGTCTTTTCATGTCTTCCACTCTCAGTGGCCAGGTCTCACAACCATAAAGGAGGACGGAGCGGACTGATGAGCAGTACACCCGCCCTTTGGTCGATAGTCGAACATCTCGTCTACGCCAGAGTCGGCGTAAACTAACAAATGCGAAACGAGCCCCTTGTATTCGTGCTGAGATTTCGTCAGAGATCAGCCCGTTGGGGCTGATGGTACTTCCCAAATAAGTGAAGCGGTCAACGTGCTCTACCACTTCACTTCCTATTTTTAAACTAGGCGTCGATGTAGTCCAGTCCTGTAACATCATCTTGCATTTGGCGGGAGCGAATCGCATGCCAAACATTCGTAGATTGCTGTTCAAGGTGTTTAGAAGACTCTGCATTTTGTCAGCGTCTTCGCCTAGAAGGACTATATCGTCTGCATATTCCAAGTCAACGAGATTATTCCCAGGTAGCAAGTCAATCCCTGAATCGCTGAAGTCACCTAGGGTTAAGTCCATTAACACATCTATGATGAAGTTGAATAGAAAAGGAGATAATGGGCATCCTTGACGGACACCACTGGTCGTCATCAGTTCAGATGACAGCTCGCCGTAAGCCCTCACCTGGCTGTATGAGTACGAATAGAGTGCCTTAATCAGTGCAATATATTTTCTCGGAATTCCCTTTACAGCCAAGCATCTCCAGAGAACTTCCCGATCGACAGAGTCGAATGCTGCCTTTAGGTCAAGAAATATAATGACTGTTGGACGCCGGTAGGAATGCCTATGTTCTAGAATCTGTCGGAGGGTGAAGATATGATCAATACACCCTCTTCCTGGTCTAAAGCCTGCCTGGCTCTCTCGTGTTTGTGCTTCCCGAGCACCACTCAGTCTACGCATGATTATTGAGCCTAAGACTTTAGATACTATATTAGTCAAGCTAATCCCTCTGTGATTATCACAGGAAGACTTGTCTCCCTTCTTGTATATGGGGATAATCAGTGACTTACACCAACCCGATGGGACTTCTTCTGATTCCCAAACGCTGCCTAGTACCTCAGTTAATCCGGACAGTAAGCTGTCTCCACCGTACTTAAATACCTCTGGCGTCATTCCATCAGGTCCCGCTGCTTTGCCTAGTTTCAGATTGGTGACAGCTTTAGTAACCTCAGTTAGTGACGGAGGACCTGTATCTATATCCCATTCAGGGAGGTGTTGGATGCTCGGAAGGTTGAGCGTGGCTGTGGGCAAATTAAACTGCTCCTCATAATGCTCTTTCCAACGATCCAGTCGTCTATCCTGTGAGCTAATTATAGTGCCATTTTTTTCCGAGATTGTCTCACTAATGATTTGTCAGGGATGAGGATCTAATTGGAAAGTAAATATTTCTTCGCTCATTCCTTTCGCCTTAGAAGTGTAAAAGACAATTTACTCTGATGTTGTAACACACTGATTGAAGCAAATGAATTCCACTTTGTTAGTCCCTAATTGAAACGCTATTCTATCCACTTTAGCTGCCTCAGCAGAACCAAATCATACACTGGGACATACAAAACGTGATGCTGGATAATTGGAGATTGTCTTCATGAAGGTATGTCTAAATAAGGTTAGCTACAAGATGTATCCTCAAGACTATAGCTAAAGTCACTTAGTTTTGCAGTTAAAGGCATAATTTTCAAACCAGTTGAATCACAGTCGTACTCCCGCAAGACTAAGTGATTTGCCACTGAAGAGATCAACACCACACCATCTGCCACTGACCGAGTCCAATTTGCAGTGCCATAACAGAAACACATCTGTTAGAAAACGCCTGAGTTCATATTAGGTAACTTTCAAGCTTTCAGCAGGTGTACTAGGACCTCCATTATTTAAAATGGAATCAAGCTTTTTGAATACAAAAACATTCCTCAAACAAAATGTTCTGAAACGAATTAATCAGACAACTAAACACCAAAGAATATTCATCAAACGAACTGTCGTCAAGATTTGACAGAATAGTTCTAAAATATTTGGGCGCCGAGTGAGAAATAGACATTTGTAAAAAATTATATTTGTAAAATCTCAGCGAGATTGAAATGAATAATTCCAACGTTTCGTTCGGTAATCTGCTCCGAACTTCTTCAGGGAAATTAATCGAAATTAACATAACAGAGGTTTATATATAAAAAGGACATCTCTTGTTATTAAAAACTTTGTCCAATCACGAGTCATAAAACAAGTACCAAAAAGTATAATAAACAAAATTGTATGATCTGTGGTCAAAGTTTGATTAAAATGTTCCCTTTATATATAAACGTCTGTTACGTCAATTTCGATTAATTTCCCTGAAGAAGTTCGGACCAGATTGGCAAACAAAACGTTGGAATTACTCATTTCAATCTCGCTGAGATTTTACAAATATAATTTTTCACCAAAGAATACTCTTTTCGATAATTTCCTTTTCCGGCTTTACAAGTATACATATATTTATTTATACAGAATATTTTAGAACAGTCGGCATTATCAATATTGGATTGCTTAAATACTATCGACTTTTTAAGATTAGTGAAATTACATTTCAAGAAAGATTGATAAGTTATAATAAGCATCGAAATGCAATATTAAATAGAATATCAAATAAATTAAAGAATCCTTAAAACCATGATGACCAAGGTAAGGAAAGCGTCCGAAACAATTTCTTTTGGATGCATAAGCTAGGCTTCTTAATATATATTACAACAGCTTCAGTAATATGTAATAGACGAACTGTTGAGGTAAAATTAAGATTAGCTGGTATATGGTAGATGACTTTGAAAGCCTTGTTTACACCCGTTTTGTTCTTTACTATCCCATCTCGTGCAGAAAAGCTAGATATATGTAGATTCAAGATACAGTGAACGTGTTAACTGCTAATTGGAGTTATTTAAGAAAACCTTATGGGGATGGCGAGCAACGAAAACTCAGGACTCATCATATTATGTATTAAAGTTACTCAGTATGCTCCAGGTGTATACATTCTTAATCAATAAAAATATAATAGTACACCTTTTAATATCTGTTGTCATTTCACTCTTATTTATTCTGAGATTTCATTTCTTCTCCTCCAAAATATGTTACAACGAAGTGACGGGAAGAACTGCGCTTATGCGTAAAGTCCTACCATGCCCTTCTAAACTAGTGTTTCAACTGTTGGCTGGTGAAGTTCAGTGACATTAGAATACAATACTCTTTTGATAACTGGTAAATGTGAATTTTTCTCTGGCTTTAACGATTTCGTTATCTTGTTAATATATACCAGTCTGCGGATAAGTGAAAGAATATGTATTTTATAAAATCTGTAAGATTGTGTTTACGTATATTTACATACTAATACTAAGATTATTTTAAATTTGTTTCAATAAACCATACGTTACTAAAGTAATAAAACCTGAGTATTGAGTTAATGGGTCTTTTCATTACATATGTCTACACCACGAGAAAAGTTCTGTGAAGTATTATGATCATTTGTGACTTTTCCTTTTATAATAAGTATACATCTATCTAAATTTGTTTACTTAGGCGGTGACGAGAATACTAAATCTGATATTTAAAAGCCAAAGTCAAAAGACATGCGGTTCCAACTAAATGTTAATACATCGGTAAACCGGTAAACAGAAAGTTCACATTAGCATTCGGTACTTCAAGCATATTCTGATATGAAATATTTCATGGAGCACACAAAACAAGAAACCAACTAAGAATAGTTTATCTACATGACATATGGAAAAGACTTCAAATGATAAAGTCAAATAGCTAAGCCTGCGGTTCTAAACACCAGTTAAAGGCTGTATCACCAAAGATTCATGACCTGGTACACCAAAGTTATCGTCTGACCTCCGAAACTAATGTAAAGGCCACAAATCCATTTCATTTCCAGGCTGAATACAGGTTATCGAACAGCTTTTCCACTTGTAACGACATGGACAATCACAATAAAACGCAACTTTGCCGCCTAGAAGTCTTAATTTACACACCTATTCACTTCACAAGCATAGGAAATGAAAAAGCTAGGAACGAAACGACATAATACCATGCTGTAAATACAGAGGAGAAAGTGGAAATTAAATAAAGAAATGCTACACTACAGTTAAGGCAAAGTTATAATAAGAATGAAGTTTTCCGATTGCCAAAAATTATAAATCGTATAACTAAGTATTGACAACCACAAGTTTCTGTTTCTCTTTAACTTTGATATCACTTGAATTTTTATTTTCATTACTGCCCCATGAGAAACTATAGGAAGCAACAACACTTTTACAGTGCCTTACTTTTATCACTCATATCTAGAGATTACTCATTGTTACTTCTTCCAAAGCGAAACAAGTACACTATCGCAGAAATTTGACTGACCGTTAGGACAAACTGTATAGAAACGTAAGTCTTTCTGAATGAATTACAGTTTTTTCACCCATCAGGGCAGTATTCAGTTCATTTATTGATCCTCTTGCATTATGATCATATATACGACGAAATGATTGATCACAAGCTTCACTTAAATGAATGACACACACAATAGATGCTTCATCTGCAAGAATGTAGATCACACTTTGCGACAATTTATAATGACATCTGCAGACTCAGACAGTAGGAAGATGAATTTACACTTCAGACTGATCTGTTGAAAAACGCCAGTTAAAGGTCATGGGTCTCAGATGAAACTCATGCCAAATAAGTTTTAAGTACTGCATCGAATGTTCCTCAAAAACATGTGTGGTACAAAAAGCCAAACACAATGCCGCAACAATACACTGAATGATGTACGGAAGCTTACAGTGAGGTCCTTTTCAAGCTACCATAAAAGAGTTCCATAATGAATTGTCTGCCTTTACACATATGCATTGACACAATAAATTATTAGTTTAAGTCCTCAAACTTTAAAACAGCACATTAAAAATAAGAGGAGAGAGATACAGTGACAATACTATAAGGAAAAAGGGATTTAGAAAAGTTTAATGAGGATTAGTAGAAATGTTCAAAATTTTAGAACCAATAAATAAGGAATCCATCCTAGCCTCTGGAGGTAACCTATATCCAACTCTTGACTTTGCTATTCCAAGCATTATAGCCACAGACCATCATCACCGTCATATACACCCAAAACAAACTATCCCCACACTCATGAAATAGTGAGACACTGGTTTGACGAATCTTAACTTTTTCAGGAAGGCAAGATGAGCTCTTATTAAGCACATATGCTCTTAGATTGATAGCAGGATATTTTGGTAGCACTAAAAAATACAACCGCTGACGATCCATCTTAACTTGTAGTAGTACCTCAAAAGACAATAACCTACTACGAATGCAACTTCCTATCCTAGTATCAATGCATTATATTTGACAGAAGCAAAGTATGCGCTAAACATATTTAGAATTCTACCAAATAACTTCAGAAGACTTATCTTCTGTTAATCTTGCGTGTGCAGTAATTTTGCCGAGTTAAACCCCAAAAGAAAGTTATCAGCTTACAATCAATCCTATATAACGAAACTGAAATGACAGAAAATTTATGTACATCCCAACAAAGTTAATCGAGAAAATAAAGGAACCTCAGTCTTCACAGAATAATACAGAAAAAGTATTTATGAAAACCCTATAAGTTTTCCTCAATCAAATTAGCAGTGTACCCCGTCTTTCTTTGAGGGTGTGGAGTATCGTTGTAAACATGGGTATAATCAAATTAACCAATAATAAGACTGGGCATTAAGTGCTAGGTATGGAGGAAGACACATCTGATGAGGTTGTGAGGCTGCGCCAAATATAATAGTTCAGTTAATCTTCGCCTTAATTTTATGCAAGGGTAATGTTTCTTGATTCCGAATCAGAAGTCTGAAGACAGGCAGTTATATTGCGACATAAACAAAGGAAATGTATGACTATAATATCAGTACTCAATGTTATTAATTTTCCATGAAAGCTAGGAAAGTCAAATATTAGTGATCTAAATTAGAGTTATAAAACATTGAGAAAGTGAAAAACTTTGTGATCCTGATCGCTCTTAAACATTTATTGAATCAACTATAGCAATTTATGGAGTCAAAGCACGTTTTACACTTACTTTGAAATGATAATCCAAACGAACAAGGAATGGAAAAGAAATAGCCTGCAGGATACGTTTTTCATTCAAAGTATGTTCCACTTGTTTCAGTTTCACAACCTAAGAAAGCAATAAAAAAAACCACAATCCAACAACCTTTTGTTTGTCCAATATCTTCATAGCATAATACTCCTTGCTAACTTTATGTTGCACCAGCATAACGCGTCCAAAAGAACCCGTGCCCAAAGTTTTAATACGATCGAAAGAATCCAGCGTTGCCGTATTCTAAAGATTATATAGGAAAACAGGTAACGTACCTGTGAAGGTTTCTCCCATTTTTCTAAGAATTCCTTTTTGGCTTCCTCAAGAAAAGCCTTCACTGTAAAAAATTAAACAAGGATTATTATTAAAAATAAACGAGAATAAGTTATGCAACAATGCCACTTACCATCCGCTGGATCACCCTTTTTCGCAGCTTGTGCATTACCCATCGATTATGACAAAAAATGATATTACGCGTTTCAAAAGAGTTGCTTAAATTGATACATTTAAACAAAGAAATAACAAATACTATTTCTGTTGAACTTTCTCTTGTTCACATCAAAAAACATTAGACATGCCTATAAGCTATATTACCATCCATATAATATTTCTTCACTACAGACAACACTGATGAATTACTCAAATCTTTCATTGCTTAGACACTGGCCGTGATGTTTTGGCACAGTTTTTAGATTTTCACTATTTTTCATGCTTTTCTCTTAACTAGCACTTAATATTTCCTTATAACTACGCTTTGTTCCAAGTCTTAGCCAGTATCCAATATACTGTTGATGAGGTTCCATAAACCTTAGCATTTCTTCGTTTTCGCGTCTTGTTATCTGGAGACGTGTCTTGACTTTTTCGGACCCCGTTACCACGCCTACTAGTGAAACTATGCCGCACACATTGATAGGACCTGCTGTTGTTTAATCCATAGTTAATGCATATTTTTCATCATTGAACTGGCCCAATAGGTCTTGAGACTTTCCTTCCACTGGCCATTCATACAATGTGGTTCAGGAACACTCCACGGAATGGGGAAACGAGGCAGTGGAAACAGAATAAAGAAGAGTGTGCAAGATATGTACCGGCAGCACACTCACATACATAAAAGAAGGGAAGACTGATCGAAATAGATGTAAAGGAATATAAATTGGAACCTATAGATAATTATGTCAAATTAAGTAGGATGATTGTCGTGCCAAAACAACCCTCTAGGACTGGTGGATTTCTCAAGCAGATAAAGTTAAAGATATCGTCTTCATCATTCTCCTGTGCCTGTCTGCTAGTGATACATTCCTTATCTCGGTGGACAGCCGATTCCAAATATGACAAACCCCTGGTTCTGTGGCATTTGTGTGTATCCAGATCCAACTTTCCTTATCAGATGTTACTCGGACGGCATTTTAATTCAAAGAAGTTTTCCTTTGAGGAGAGGTGGCTGACACTTAATAATGACAAGACACATATATTGTGCACCTATATTAGAAGTTCACATGCAAGTACACCTCACTGCTAACTCAAAAAGCAGATCGCTGCGGTGATCTTGGCTGAGTCCTTCGCTCACTAAGCACGCCAATACGTCAGAAGTGGCCTGGTATCGCGAAGAAGGAATATTTCTCAGCCTTTGTTAATGTTTAAAGCCGATCTATTTCCTGCAGCTTGGTAACCTCTTCCTACAACTGGTGCATTCTTCCTCAATTCTAAGAGACCTCCACAACTGCCCAAAGAAATGCAGGCGAGTTTCGGCTGTTCAGGGATCGTTTACAAACGTCAAATTAGGGACTACCCCAATACCGCTGTGCGTGTTACCTAGATGTTCGCGATTCCCCATGCAGGATATACAAGGTTCCACCTTATGAAAAATTCCATATTCCCTTGGTTGGTTTCAATAGAATATAGCAGCGAGTGGCTAAATCCCACTTCACGGGATTTCTGGGGCAGGTAGAAAGCCATTGCAAGATCTGGAAACAACTCACAGAGTGAAATATTGAGACATTCAAAAGTCGTTTATCTCACATACATTCAGGCTTTCTACTCTGTGCTACAAATGTGACCTTTATATCCTTGACAAATAACCTTATAAAAGGGTTTCTGATATGGCAATATCTTCTGAACCATGAAAACAGTTCTGAAACAGCATACTCAGCAGTGAAAATACTTGTGCTGCTTGTTATGAATTCTCCAAGTGTGGCTCTTGCTTCTGATACCTTCTTTTTTCACACCACAGCAGCTCCGAATAGAATCCATCAGTTAGTTTTTTATTAGCTCATATTGGTTCCCTTCGTAGGAGTCTTATCTCAGAAATCCTAAGTCTAGAGTACATCTCACTTCAACACCCCTTGCAAATCCGAAAGCAACTCCCATCCCAAAATGCTGTAATGTCTCATCATCTCTCTCATCATTCAAAATCGAAAATACGTTTTCCTATCCATTCAGGCGAGGTGTTTTAATTCTCGATATCTATTGACATACCTCAGTATTTCCATGTTGCATGTTATTCTGTGTCATTTTCCCAAATTCTTGCTGAGTCTCTACATGAAGCTGCAGGTAGCAAACTTATTAGGTGTACTGGACTAGAAATTCCGAAGTCAACCATGAGAGGGATAGTGGAAGGTTTGGTGGCTTGATTTAACGAAAACAGTCAACTTCAAGAGTCCCACATAGTGACTGCGAAATAAAAACAATTAAAAAGACCGTAAATAACAAAAGTCTTCGACGACCACCAGTAACTGTCTGCAAAACTCACCATTTATATTATGCGTCAGAATATCAGTAGTGGGTGGTTTTCAAGGATTAAGGCCTAATACGCAAAGTTTGTGAGTGTGAAAGACTACCTCATCGCAAATATCAAAATAATTGATTATGAGAATGCATAAAGAAAACGAACACCTCAAAGGACTACATTCACCTTCCGAGTACACTTCCAAATAAAAATTTTCGTCATTTCATTAGGCCTCGGGAGGAACTCGATTCATCACTAGAGTTACAGCCCACTAATAAAAGGCAGAATGGAAAAAAAGCTGGGGGGAGACAGTACAGGAAGAGAACTCACCATGGGTCGAGAGGCCCTCGGCGAAATGAACGACAATGGTGAACTCTTCTCAGACTTCTGCGCCTTCAATGATTTGGTGATTGGTGGCAGTGTGTTCAAACACAAGGATATACACAAGGCGACATGGATTTCACCAGATGGAAACACCAAGAATCAAATAGACTTCATCTCAATTTCAAGAAAGTGGAGACGGAGCCTACTGGACACAAGGTCAAGGAGAGGAGCAGATGTGGGTTCAGACCACTATCTAGTAGAAGGGACTTTCAAGGTGAAACTAAAAGCCTCGAGGACAGCTGGGGATAGGCCACAATGCAAGTTCAACACTCAATTACTGGAGGACACAACCACAAAAGACACTTTCACTGCAACTGTCAAAGCAAAGCAGGAAACACTACGCGACAGCACTGAAGAATCATGCGTGGAAGAACATTGGAAGTCTCTGAAGGCGATTCTCAACGAAACGTGTTCAACGGTTCTAGGAAGAAAGAAGAGACAAGACAAGGAATGGCTCTCAACGGACACTTGGAAACTAATAGAAGAGAGGAGAATGGTGAAAGAGAAAATGATTCAATGCAAGGACGGACAGGAGAAGGAGACGCTGAGCTCAACTTACAAAGCATTGGACAAAGAAGTGAAGAAAAGTGCTAGTAAGGACAAAAGACGATTCTACGACAATCTAGCTACTGAAGCTGAGAAGGCAGCAGTCTACAGGGGTCTGAGGACATTATATCAGATAACCAAATCTCTATCCAGGAAGAGACCAACACAAGCGAAACCTATAAAAGACAGACAAGGGAAGCCCATTACCAAGGAAGAAAAACAGATTAAACAATGGGCGGATCACTTCAAAGGACTCTTGAACCGACCATCACCTGCAACCCGTCCAGAAATACCAACAACAGCGCGCACTCAATTGCAAGTTGACACCAATCCTCCAACGAGAGCTGAAGTCTTGAACGCAATCAAGCTTCTGAAAGCTGGAAAACAGCCGGACCAGATGGAATACCCCCTGAAGCACTGAAAGCGGACCCAGAGACTACAGCAGACATTCTGACTCCATTATTGCAAAAGGTCTGGAAGGAGGGAAAGGTGCCTACTGACTGGAGGAAAGGCTACCTCGTGAAACTACCAAAGAGGGGCGACTTACGCTTCACTCTGCAAGAACTGGCGAGGAATCATGCTCCTGTCAACCCCAAGTAAAATCCTGAGTCGCATCATCCTGGAGAGATTAAAGGACGCACTGGAGGCAGAACTCCGACCAGAACAGGCTGGATTCAGGAAAGGCAAACCATGTACTGACCAAATTGCAACTCTACCCATCATCATCACAGAACAAAGCATGGAATGCCAATCAAACCTCTACCTCAACTTTATACACTTTGAGAAGGCCTTCGACAGGCGTTGACCGCGAAGTAATTTGGAAAGTACTCGAGTACTATGGCGTACCCCAAATATTCATCAACCTTATTCAACGACTGTACGACAACGGCACATGTCAAGTCATCCACAACGGAAAACTCAGCGAGGCGTTTGGAGTAAACACAGGAGTCAGAAAAGGGTGCTTATTATCACCCATGATATTCCTAATTGTGGTGGACTGACTGGATTATGCGTCAGACAGTGAGTGGGAAACGAGAAGAAAGGGATATCCTGGACCGACGACGCGAAGAACCTGGAAGATCTGGATTTCGCACGTGGATGATTTATGTTTGATGTCACACACAATCGAAGACTTACAAGTGAAAACCGACAAACTGGTCGAAGAAGCAGCCGGCGAAGACAGGACTCCATGTGAACGTAGACAAGACGGAGGTTATGAAAATAACCAACCAACAACAAAAACAGAAGCAACATCCAGCGTCAATCACCATCAACGGGAGGGATTTGAAAGAGGTCACTTCGTTCACTTATCTAGGGAGGGAGCATTGTCTCAACTACAGGCAGTTGGAATGGACGAGGATGTCAAATCGATCGAGAATCGGGAAGGAGAGAAACAATCTGGAAGGAAATCTTCGTCACTCAACATCAACAACAAAATGCGGTCGGATCTTCAATACAAACGTCAAGTCAGTCAGTTCTCCTATACGGATCAAAATCTTGGCGGGTGGTCACAAAGAATATTTCCAACAGCCTGTTGAAGACTTTTATCCACCAACAGCTGTCTTCGCTGGCTCTATACTGAAGATCAGACAACCGGGTCAGAAAGAATCACCAATAAGAAACTATGGGAAGAAACTAAACGAGAGCCAATCGCCAACCAACAAATATGCAGGAGAGAGTAG